ACTGGTGGGCCCCAGTCCTTGCCACCCTTTTCACCAGCATAGATCAAACAGCAATAATACCAGAGGACTGGGGATTGGCAATCATCGTTCCCATATTCAAGAAAGGCTGTAAACTTGATCCAGCCAATTACAGACCAATCAGTCTCTTAAGCATCATCAGCAAACTTTATGCAACTCACTTACGTGAAAAGTTTGCGGACTGGCTGGAACAGGAGCACATCCTAAAGGAAGCCCAGGCTGGTTTCAGGGCACATAGATCAACTCTAGACCAAGGATTGGTATTGCAACATCTAGTGGAGAAATACACCTCAAAGAAAGGAGGCTCTCTCTATGTAGCCTTTATAGATTTCAAATCAGCCTTCGACTCGATACCCCGGCACAGACTTGGGAAAAACTAAATGTCACAAACATCGATAGACGTCTTTTGCTTCTTATCCGTAGACTACATGAAAATACTCGGATCCGTGTTAGATGCGACCGTTATGGGAACCTATCAAAGGAAATCCAAAGTTTCCATGGTGTCAAGCAAGGCTGTGTTCTTGCCCCTATTCTTTTTAACTTCTATATAAACTCCTTAGTCGGAAAGATGGAGGAAGCAAGTACTCATTCCCCAAACCTAAATAATACACCAATCCCGGTCCTTTTGTACGCAGATGATGCGGCACTTATTTCCTTCTCTTGTGTGGGTCTAAGAAAACTTTTACGAGCTCTTACAGAGTATTGCGAAGCTGAACACCTAATAATAAATTACACTAAATCAAAAATTATGGTGTTCTCCAAGAGAAAACTCCGACATAAATGGAAAATTAATAACCAACCTATTGAGCAAGTAACATCTTTTAGATATCTTGGAATAATTTTTGATGAGAAGGGATCTTGGTGCCATCAGATTAAGAATTCTATTGTAAATGCGCAAAGATCTTCCAGAGCTATAATAAGATTCTTTTACAGAAAAGGAGGTCAATATGTTCCTGCTGCCTCCCAGGTCTTTGTTGCAAAAATACTTCCACAATTGATGTATGGCACCCAGATATTTAATTGTCAAAAACTCAAGTCCCTGGAATCTGTACAAACTAAATTTTATCGTTCCCTACTAGGGTTACCTACCTGTGTCTCTAACACTGCCATTAGGCTGGAGGTAGGTCAACTCCCTATTAATGCCAGGATATGGATCCTGAAGATTCACTTCTGGCTAAAACTCATATTTTTCCCAGTGGGAGTGGCTCCATTGACTCTACTAGACCCGTTCCAGTCTAAATGGAGATTGTCGCTTATGAAAAATTGAGGGGCCTGGGGCTTTCCCCACAAGAACTCATAGCCTCAGGCTTTGAAAAGGCTAAAATGATGGTGAGCCAGCGAATAGGAGATGTAGAGCTTCAGGACCATATGAGCAAGATAGATAAATATCCAGCTATCCAAGATTATGGAAAAGGGTTTAATCTAACCCCATATTTGCTGGACCTACAAATCGCAAAATATAGGCGGGCGTTTACCCTTACCAGATTTGATGTATTGCCATCTGCCTTACTAAAGGGCAGATACGAGGGCACACCCTATGCTGAACGAGTTTGCCCATGTGGTCTGAAGGAGGTGGAAACGGCTTCACATGTGTTGTTACACTGCGACCTTTACGGGGATATCAGGTTACTGTTTATCTCCCCTATCGTTCAGAAATTTCCAGGTCGATCTGAATCTCAGCGGCTGAAAATCCTACTAGGAGATAAAAACCCAGAAGTAACACTGAAAGTGGCCAAGTTTTCTGCGGCCGCGATCAAGCGGAGGGCATTAGCTGTAAAAAAGTAAAAGATCTGACCCCTGGATAAGCCCCCCCTTTTTTTAAGCCCATACATATACTGTAGTGCATATATGAGTATGTATGTGTGTGTGTGTGTGTGTGTGTGTGTGTGTGTATTGTTTTTATGTATAATTTTACAACTTTTAATTGACACCATCATTCCCTCGTAAATTACTGCTGCCTTTTATGTTTTTTTCTTTCTTCTGGTCTATGACCGTAATAAATTTATTCATTCATTCGTCTTTTGCCTCGCCATTCCCACTACTGACTCCTTGTTGCTACTTAGCTTAAAAAAAGAAGAAGAAAAAAGAAGTTTCCCCGGATTTATTGAAAAAAATCTGGTAACCATAGGTTAGACTCCCAACTGCTAGCATGTGGTCCTTGGAGAGATAGCCAAGAGGGAATGTGGCCCTTGAGCCAAGGAAGGTTAGTCACCCCTTCCATGAGATATTTGGGGGGCAAAGGGAGGTGGACAAAAGCAGCATCAAAATTCCTACATGCTCTAGATATGTTCTTATTATGAAAAATGCATGTTGTAAATCGAGAGAGGCAGTCTCCCTCTGCCAGCCACAATAAGCTCTTTGTATCCACAGGTTGCCTGATCCCCGTGAAACAGCCTTCTGTAAACAACAGAACCATTGTAATTTTAGAGAATTTGGAAAAAGCGACATTATTGGAATTACTGGGGGAGTTTCTCCAACCTCTTGAAAACCGTGGCTCTGAGAACCCCTACACTATTAAGAAAGGTACAGAAATGTTTTTTGTTTCTCTAGGGTTCACTATTATGGAAAACACACTTTTAAAGTATCTGAAGACGTGTGGATGCACACGAAAGCTCATACCAATAACAAACTTAGTTGGTCTCTAAGGTGCTACCGGAAGGAATTTTCTTTATTTTGTTTTAAAGAGCAGAGTTTTCTTTGGAAGTTTGCCCTTGACACAGGCTTAGCACAAACACACAAACATGCCGGCCTGCACCTGACTCCTCCCTGATCTCTCTGCAGTGCATTGCACTGAGCTAAGCCATAGCCTTAGCAGGGCACCTGAACCCAGGCTCATGGATTAGCACTCTCCAGACAAACCACAAACTATCAGCAAGGTTCATCGTATGGTTTGAGGCTTAGCTCAGTACAGAATGACAGAGCAGTCGCATACGAACCCTGCCACAGTGATATGTGATCCATTTAAATGATCTTGCATTTTGAGTCTGTTTCTTGATTAGCGCTATCACCTGGATGTTTTATTTTGAGCTTTTCTTCTCTATTGGTTGTTTTGTTTTGGTTTTGTTTAGCCAATGGTGCATCTGAAGCTTATTACTTCCACGAGAATTGTTTTCTTATGGGGACCATTGCAAAATCTCGGCTTCAAGGCTCCGACCTGATGGTTCAGCAACATTTCCTCTGGGTTCAGCTAAGATGGGACGGAGAACCGATCCATGGCCTCCTGCAAAGGTTCTTAAGAAGGAAGGTTTTAAGCAAGGTAGGAGCATGCCTGCTTGAGTTTCAGGTCACTGTTCACTACAAAAGGCGTTACTAGAACCAAATAAATTAATAAGAGAACTAAAGCTCTTCCATTTTGGAGGACAAAGAAGTGAGCCTTTGTATACAGCTCAATAAGCTTCTGCGATTTAGTTTATGAATTGAGATACAGTTAAACCTCTGTTGTCGAATGTAATCCGTTCTGGAAGTCCGTTCCGAAACATTCGACAACCAAGGCGAATTGGTTGCAAGAGCTTCCTGCACTCAAGCGGAAGCCACGTCAGATGTTCAGCTTCCAAAAAACATTCAAAAACCGGAGCATTTACTTCCAGGTTTTTGGCATTTGGGTGCTGAAAAGTTTGAAAACAGAGCCATTCGGGAGCCGAGGTTTGACTGTATATATTTATAAATACACAGATGGAACTTCATCATCATTCCTACATACTAGCAACAAACCAGTAACTTTCAGGCATAAGCCTTTCTTAAATCAAATTGCAGAATTGCTTTTGAGCGGTCTTGGCTTATTGGTAGTCTGGTGATAAGCTCTCATCCTTCAGGTTTGTCACAGACACACAATAAATAATAATAATAATAATAATAATAATAATAATAATAATAATAATAATAATATATTTATACCCTGCCCTTCTGGCTGAGTTTCCCCAGCTACTCTGGGCGGCTCCCAATTGAGTGTTAAAAATAATACGTAAGGGATGGAAACCACTTCAGGTCGGTTTTTAAAAGCAGTGACACCTCTACACACTGCACATATGACAACATAAACACACCAAACACACCCTTGACACTAACTTCCTATTATTTTCATTGTGCTATTTTACATTTGTTAACCTATACACATTTCATTATTATTAATTTCCATTTCTTCCAATTGGTTTTATTATATACTTTCTTTATATTTCATGATTCATTCTACGTCTGCCCAGAGGTTAGCATTATCACAGTAATTTCTATTATATTCTTCAAAAGTTATTCAATCTTTATTAACTTTTTGTATTGAGTTTCTTCTTATTCTTCCTTTCATCTTTGCGAGTTGTAGATATCCAATCGTTCTCATTTGCCAGTCTGTTTTGGTGGGGATGTTGTCACTTTTCAAATTCTTACCTATTAGAATCCTAGCCGCTGTGGTTGGAGTAGAAAAGAATAAGAGAATTTTCGGATATCATATATAATGAAAATAAGAAGATTCTTAAATTTTCATTCCGCAAAAAACCTGAAGCCTACTTCTTCTACTTCTACTTCTTCTTCTTCTTCTTCTTCTCCTCCTCCTCCTCCTCCTCCTCTGATTGTAGGTCTCCTGGCAGCATGGAGAGCTTCAAATCCTAGTTAGCAATGGATGGTTTATCATCCTACTCCCTTTGAAATGAAGTCATAAATCATTGCTGCTTAGTGAAACTGGTGTTTGTCAGGAGCTAGCTTTAAGTGATTTTTCTTGAGCCCGTGGTGGCAGAGAGCTGATCTCGAGAATATATGGCAGAGAGAAATTTAGCAGGTGTGACTTCTTCCGCAAGCAGCACCTGAGAGGCAGTTCTTTGACAGTTCTTCGAGGAGACCCAGAAGCCAACGTGGATTAAGAGATTGAAACCTCAAGGATGTGAGCCCATTGTAAATGAAAGCAAGCTATAGATTGCTGCTTTGATATTTAGATATGTTGGGTTTGTTGTGTTCTTTCCACGTTCAAGGCACACCACATACATCATCACAGTAATATTTGTATAAGGTATACTGTAGTCTATAGAGGTATAGTTGCACAGTAGTTTGTGATGTCACTGAAATTTTTGTATTTTGAATCTCAAAAATACAGTCGTACCTTGGAGGTCGAATGGAATCCATTCCGGAAATCCGTTCGACTTCCAAAACGTTCAAAAACCAAATTGCGGCTTCTGATCGGCTGCAGGATGCTCCTGCAGCCAATCAGAAGTCATGGAAGCCCCATCGGACATTTGGGTTCCAAAAGAACGTTTGCAAACTGGAACAGTCACTTCCAGGTTTGCGCCATTCAGGAGCCAAAATGTCCGAGTTCCAGGGCGTTTGGGATCCAAGGTACAAGCATCCAGGACTCATAATGTCTGTCTCAATAGAAGATGAACATTGCAGTGTTATAATTCTTCTTGGGTTCATATTGGAGCCAAGTTTTATCTTGGGATTTTTGGAGAAAGCTCATGAAAGGTGTGCTTTCCATGATGAACTTCCGGAGAGCACTCATCACCCGTAATAGCTGCCACTCCACATATGAACTGAAACAGCAAAGTATTGTGGTAGTATTCAATGTTGGTTTGGAAGTGCAAAACATTTCCCTGTGGTGAGAGCAAGATGAATATATAGTGGAGTCCTATATGTCTATGCAGAAGCAAGTCTCGTTGAGTTTGATGGGATTTGCTCCCAGATAAGTAGGTATAGGATTGCAGATTTACATTATTCAAAATGAGCCAATAATGTATACAGGGTGGTGAATCAGGGTTACCTTGGTGTAGAAGTCTGTGCATTTTATACTAATATATACACAACCCTCATCGTGATATTCCCTTTTAAAATTAATTTCAATTAAATGTCCACAACAGGACTATGAAAGCAGAGCTGTAAAAAAACAAAACAAAATGGTATCTTTCCACAGCTGGTCTGACTGCACACCAGAAAGCCCTGCTTCTAATGAGATTAGGAAGAACATGAGTTATTTCTTATGAAAGGATTTCCTTTTTAGCTCTTGCCTCAAAGCAAGGCATTATCCCTTAACTGAATACTTGTGTATGGTTCTTCTGTCATTTCCAGATCTCTGCCTCTATCTTTGTTAAATGCCTGGAGTGCTCCCCGTTGTCTACAAGTGTTTTTTAATTGAAAACGAGCAAAATGGAAGCAAGGGCATAAATGTGCCAAAATAGCTTCAGCAAATGAGCAAACCAGCGCAATGAGAACTGAAGGAATAATTTGAAATTTGAAGTCATTGATAGCAGTAGGCCTCCACTGTGCAGGAGAGCCTTAGTACTTGGCCCTTTCTTTATACAGTTGTTATAAAACAAGAGAGCCCTCTCTTTTTTTGTGAGAGATGTGAGATTATTTACACTGAGACGAAACAAAACTCTGGGTGCAAGTTTTTTCTTTTTTTATAATAATATTCATTAGCATTTGCATTTTCAACAAACACCATACAATTTTTACATTTCTTATCATCACCTATATTTTGACTCTCTTGAGTCGTCAACTTACCCCCAGCCCTCCAAACTGACTTTCTAGCTTCCAACCATAATTTCATCCGCATTTCTTATTTCCCCTATCTGCTTTTCTTTTTGTTTTCATATTCCTTTTACTTGTAAACAAGCTTCTACTTTTGACTAGCAAACCTTTAAATCAGTCCTGTTAGTGTTAAATGTTTACAATGTTCTTTCAAACACGTAATAAATTTACTCCAGTCTTTTTCAAACCATTGGTCTCGCTGGTGTTGGATTTTCCCGGACCATTTTGCCAGTTCTTCATATTCAATCATCTTATTTTGCCATTCTTCTACTGTCGGAATTTCATGCTGCTTCCATTTCCAGGCTAAAAGAATCCTTGCTGCTGTTGTAGCGTATAAAAATACAGTGGTGCCTCGGGTTACATACGCTTCGGGTTACATACGCTTCAGGTTACAGACTCTGCTAACCCAGAAATATTACCTCAGGTTAAGAACTTTGCTTCAGGATGAGAACAGAAATTGTGCTCTGGTGGTGCGGCGGCAGCAGGAGGCTCCATTAGCTAAAATGGTGCTTCGGTTAAGAACAGTTTCAGGTTAAGAACGGACCTCCAGAATGAATTAAGTACTTAACCCGAGGTATCACTGTAGAGTGGGACGCGGGTGGCGCTGTGGGTAAAAGCCTCAGCGCCTAGGGCTTGCCGATCGAAAGGTGGGCGGTTCGAATCCCCACGGCGGGGTGCGCTCCCGCTGTTCGGTCCCAGCGCCTGCCAACCTAGCTGTTCAAAAGCACCCCCGGGTGCAAGTAGATAAATAGGGACCACTTACTAGCGGGAAGGTAAACGGCGTTTCCGTGTGCGGCTCTGGCTCGCCAGAGCAGCGATGTCACGCTGGCCACGTGACCCGGAAGTGTCTGCGGACAGTGCTGGCCCTCGGCTTCTTGAGTGAGATGGGCGCACAACCCTAGAGTCTGTCAAGACTGGCCTGTACGGGCAGGGGTACCTTTACCTTTTTTTATCACTGTAGAGTATAGTCTTTCTTGGGAATCTCTTCTCCTAGAATCCCTAGCAGGAAAGCTTCTGCTTTCTTATGAAAAGTGTTCTTAAACACTTTCTTAATTTCATTATAAATCATATCCCAGTATGCTTTCACCTTGGGACAAGTCCAACTTTGGGTGCAAGTTAATTGAATCGTGGACTGGGATTTCCTCTTAATGACCAATCATTACCTTGTCTGTCTGCAGAAGGTACATGTTACCAATGCTTGACTCTCCCTTGGTGATTAGCGTTTGTGGGACTGGGGTTGGCAGTGCTGAGTGCCCACTTTTCAGACACTTGACATTAATCATGCAAATGCTAGGGCCTAGTTAGCAGGAGCTGGCTCCAGGCTGAAAGTGGATACTTCTCTACCTGTCTTCTTTGGCGATCACTTGTAGCCGAGTAAGATTGTCTTCCATAAACACGGTTTTAACAGTGGTTTTGGAAGACGCCTGTGCATGAATTTCTTTTGTGTGTGTAGATCAGTGCATGCTGACCAACACACAGTCTTCGCAGTAAGACTCTATTCCGATGGCATGAGTATCACAGCATCCAGTAGATTCTTATCTGCTGCAGCCTTCACAGCCGTTGTAACATACCTCTTATCATCTGCCTGTTCTGCCATTGAGGACTTTTTGGATCATCCTTTGTCTAGCTCCCCACCTTTGACCTTACCACCTTGGGTGACCCTGCTGGGAGTACGAGACTCCTGGTGGCTTTTCTCACAAGGGTCATAGGAACGTGCAAGCCCACTCCCCATGACAAGGTGATGATCCAGTGAATGAGTTCTCCATCAGTAGACCCTAGTGGGCTTATTTGGTGGTGAAGCAGTGTCCAGTGTCTGCATCTCGGGCCCCTTAGCAATGCTACCACAATGGCATTGTGGGAAATTGAAATGATGACTAGACTTAAAGCATTGCTGACAGGACTGATGCATTTTCACCTTCCCAGATCAAGACTTTTCACCACCAATGTGCTGGTCGGAACTTGTGCCCAGGTAGCATTAAATGTTAATTGGGAGAAAAGTTACAGCCCCAAAGGCTTCATTTGTTCCTTTGTAACATTAGATGTGTAGCAGTCATATCCCCCAAGCTTGTCTTGGCAAGATGGCTTAAGCAAGACCATCTGCACACTGCTGGCGACACCGTTGTTTCTTGCTATATGTAATGTTATGCCTTGTTGCCTCTTGAGGTGGTGATGATATGCCAGTTGAAGGCAGACTGCATAGCCAATATCTCTGTAATGCTTCTACTGGGACTTAAGTGTGAATGCTTCGTATAGAATTAGGCTTTATTCATCTATTGGGATGTTCTTCTTTAAAAAAAGCCCCATTAAAATGTACACGTGTACAACCCTTGTCCATTATTATGGGGCCTGCTCAATAAATCAGTTGATGTTACTACCACTGGAAGGGTGAAATAAAACCCTCCATAGTTTCAAATATTAAAATTATGGTTCATATTAGAAGCTGGAGCATCCTACTGACTTTGCATCTTCTTAAAATTATTTACATTTAGGTGTGCTTTGGAGTTTCAGGCCACTGCTTGTGTTGTTTCAAAAGAACTGAAATGTTTTCATCTTTCCGAGTTTGGAAATAATTCACACATGCCTGTACACCATTTGATATCTTATTGCTTGGTCACTCAACACAGTGACTTTCAGCCATGAAAGCTCCATCGAAAAGCACTTGTATTTATGGTGATGAGAAGTGAGAAGGACAGGTGTCTTGGTGGTATTTGATCCATGGTGGGTTTTTCACACGAGCAGTGACTGCTTGATGCTGCGGTTATCAAGGAATGACCATGCAGGTGTTCGTTTCAGTGAAACCTACTGCTTATGTGCAACATGTTAGGTGTGAAGTTGCTTTCCTTCTTCATAGAGGTCCCAAACCAATCATCTGTTCTCTCTCCAGTTCAAAGGAAAAATGCCTCCTCCGTGTGATCCAGTGTGCAAGATCATAGATTGGATTCTCGCAGTCTGGCACCAACTCAATTCATGTTTATCACGGCTTGGTGCACCTGAAGCACTTGTTGGACCGAAGCATTTTCTGTCTTGTCCGGTGGTGCCTGGTCACAGCCACACAACAGTGAAGTAAGTCGTGTCGTTTAATCTTCATTAATGATACAGTGCAGCAGTGACATCCTTAAAATACTTACTTCTCCAGTACATCACTGTAATCTATTCTAGCACCACTAATTCAAATTTATAGAGTTCCCCAGTCTTTCTCCCGTGGCTGTACTCTCTCTAATTTTGTGTTACACCATGCAAGGATGAAAAAAGCTGAAGCTACAATGTTCATGCCTTAGTGCTATTTCTTTTCCCTCTGTGCTCCAAGGTGGATGTCCAAGTTATGGAATTCTGTCATTGCTCCCCGGGTTCAAGAAGCAATTCTCTCCAGAGCTTCTCTGAAAAGACCATCCGCACTGGGACAGATGGCAGTCAAGAAAAGTCCGAGCCAAGGGCAACAGGCTGTGGTGAAAGCTGCACTCAGCATCCTCTTAAATAAAGCTGTTCTGCATGGATGTCCTCTTCCCAGAGCAGGTGGGAAATAGTAAATGGGTTGATTGCTAGACTTAAACGTCCAGGAAGGAAACTGAAGGCTATAACCCAGCAATGCTAGAAGACTTTGATAGCACCCACTAACTACCACATCTCAGGCATGGTTTCAAGAAATGTGTTTTGGAGTAACCAGAATATCTTAAGCAAGTCAAAAGCAAACTGCTGTTGCTTGCCTGTCTGATCTGGAGAAGATTCATTCTTGACCACAAAACTATGAAGATCACTGATCACGTAATGTTAAACTAGAGTTGAGGGAGACATTTCTCAATGAGTTCATCTCTTGGCACGGTTATATTGTGAACTGCCCTGAGATCTACAGATGAAGAGTGGTATATTATTATTATTATTATTATTATTATTATTATTATTATTATTATTATTATTGATGTGCTACAACCACATAGGTGTGGTCAATTGCATGGGTCTTACCCACGGAGTTTGAGCACTAGATATATTTATTTTGCAAGGAGTCTGACATGTGCACAGATGTAGATAAATTCTCTATTCTTTCTTATTTTTGTTGTGGCCAAGTGTTTGAGTATATTGCTCATAGTTCTCTTTATTGGTCCAGGCACTGCAGCTCTCTCCTTTCTGGCTACGAGGGCCTGAATCTCTATTTTTGCATTCATCTCTTCTCTTTCTCTCTCATGCAATCATCACACACACAATTTCTGTCCCTGGTGCTTCCTGTTCATTTGCTTGTGTGTGTCTTTGTGAAACCAAAGGTAGTTCATTTTTACATTGGGGCCCGTGATTTATTTCTGGTTGAGCAATTAGGTAGCCCACGATTGTAACAGATCTAGTGCTTACTGCTGAGCCCACAAAACCAATCAATTAAGTCTCAAAAACCTATAACATTTCATTGTTCGACCTCTTTATTCATCCTTGCAATCACAGCAAATCTTCCAGTTCCATAAAACCATGGTGGTTATAAAAAAAAGCTCAGCTGATGCTCTTTTAGACAAAGGCATTTGGCATCACATTATAATATTTCAGGTCTTGAATTATCACCACGGCTTATTTTGTTTTGTTTTTCTATTTTGTAAATGGAGGCAAGTATGAGGCTTGGGATTGCTACCGTGGAGGAGCGAGGGAGGTATGGCAGTGGGTGCAGATGTTATAGGCGAAGGGGATCGAGATACGGATATGCTCGTACCCCTTCCAATCTGCGCCCCATCCCGAGAGACGAGGGTAGGGTGAGCAAGGATTACTCACCTCCATCACTGGTGTTGTGCAATGCCAGGTCTATAGGCAACAAAACCGCCACCCTGAGAGATTTCTTCACCTCGCAGGGGGTCGACCTGGCTTGTGTGACAGAGACCTGGGTGCGCAAAGGGGAAACTGTTACCTTACGAGAGATGGCGCCCCTGGGTTTCTCCGTCCTCCACCAGTCACGGACTGTGGGCTGGGGGGGGAGGGGTGGCATTATTAATCCGGGAAGATTGTTCTTTCAGGGCTCTACCATCGCCATCAATCCCCGGCATTGAATGTGTTGGCCTAGTGTGGGGCTCTGAGGTGAGCTTGGCTGTCTGGCTGGTGTACCGGCCATGTAGCTCACCAGCAGCCACCCTGTCAGGCCTGCTGGAGGTGGTGGCCGGCTGGGCCTTGGAGTTCCCTAACCTATTGGTATTGGGGGACTTCAACATCCATGCTGATGCCACTCCCTCCTCACAGGCTCTGGACCTGGTGTTTTCCATGGCGACACTAGGGCTCTCCCAGTTTGTTTCGGGCCCCACACATCAAGCAGGCCACACGCTGGAATTGATCTTTGGCGCCGGTATAGATGTGATCATGTCTCCTTTGATGAAGGTGCCATGGTCTGATCACTATGCTCTGAAAGCCAGGATTGACTTTCCACCCCCACCTTGCTTAGGTGGCGAGCCGATTTGGGCTCGCCCGCAGAGGCTGATGGACCCTGATAGATTCCGGCAAGCCTTGCGGGACCTTGCTCCCCCTGGCGACTCATTGACTGAGCTTGTTGAGGGCTGGAATATCCAGCTCCTGGCAGCCATCGATGAGATCGCACCTAAGCGCCCTCTGCGACCCCGCAGAAACCGGGCTCCCTGGTTTACCGAGGAGCTTCGTAAAATGAAGTGGGACCTCAGACGGCTAGAGAGAGTATGGCAGAGTGCCCGTGATGGAGCCTCAAGAACATCTTATAGGGTTTTTATGAAAACCTATGAGATGGCAGTGAAGGCCGCTAAGAAGTCTTACTTCTCGGCCTCCATTGCATCCGCTAGCTCTCGCCCGGCGCAATTATTTAGTATAATTAGGTCTTTAACGTCCCTTGAAGGACAGCCAAATTTAAATAACAATCTGACACACAGCTGTGAGGCATTTGCGAGCTTTTTTGCGGAGAAGGTCCTGTTGCTCCGCCATGACCTCCCTGCCAATTTGGATATAATAAAGGAACTGGAGGCCCCTCGACTGTCCTCGGGTCCAGTATTGGACCACTTTGACCGGATATCCCCAGCCGATGTGGACAGACTCCTCCGAGCTGGAAAGCCCACCACCTGTCCTCTTGACCCATGCCCGTCTTGGCTGATTAGAGCGTGTCCAGACGAGGTGCGGGCCCCCCTGGGGGATATCATCAATTTGTCCCTAGGCACCGGGATATTCCCAGGGGAACTGAAGGAGGCAGTGGTGCGCCCGCTCTTAAAGAAAACATCATTAGATCCCTTAGATCTATCCAATTACCGCCCGGTTTCGAATCTTCCATTCCTGGGTAAGGTGATTGAGAGAGCAGTTGCTGAACAGCTTGGTAGGTTTCTGGATGAAACATCGGCTCTGGATCCATTCCAGTCCGGCTTCCGCGCTGGTCATGGGACCGAGACAGCTCTGGTCGCCCTAACAGATGATCTCCGCAGGCAGCTGGATCGAGGCGGGTCGGGGCTGCTGATTCTTCTAGACCTGTCAGCAGCCTTCGACATGATCGATCACGAACTCCTGGACCACCGCCTTGCGTGGGGATTCAGGGCACAGTCCTTCAATGGCTGCGCTCGTTTCTCTCTGGTTGGGGACAGAGGGTGGCGCTTGGGGGGGAATTGTCATCGTGCCACTCCTTGGTGTGTGGAGTGCCTCAGGGTGCGATACTCTCCCCGATGCTTTTTAACATCTTTATGCGCCCCCTCGCCCAGCTTGTCTGGAGTTTTGGGCTGGGTTGCCATCAGTATGCCGATGACACCCAACTCTATCTGTTGATGGATGGCCATCCTGACTCGGCCCCAGACACACTGACTAGATGTTTGGAAGCTGTGGCTGGATGGTTATGTGGGAGCCGGTTGAAGTTAAATCCTTCGAAGACAGAGGTCCTCTGGTTGGGACGGGACGATATGGGATTGAGGGGGCAACTCCCATCTCTTGCGGGGGTGCAATTAGTGCCAGCACCGTCCGTTAAGAGTTTGGGTGTAATCTTTGATACCTCCCTCTCTATGGAGGTGCAGAATACAGCTATAACAAAGACGGCATTTTTTCATCTCCGCCAAGCTAAGCTAAACAGTTGGCCCCTTATCTCTCTCGCCCTGACCTAGCCACTGTGATCCACGCGACGGTCACCTCCAGACTGGATTATTGTAACTCGCTCTACGTGAAAAACTCCAGCGGGTGCAGAATGCCGCAGCGAGACTCCTTATGGGGTCTTCGCTGCGAGATCACATTCATCCGGTGCTATACCAGCTGCACTGGCTCCCGGTGGAGTACAGGATCAGGTTTAAGGTGCTGGTTTTAACCGTTAAAGCCCTATATGTCCTAGGACCCTCGTACCTACGGGACCGCCTCTCCTGGTATGTCCCACAGATGAACCTACGGTCTGCAAATAAAAACATCCTGAAAGTCCCAGGCCTCAGAGAGGTTAGGCTGGCCTCAACTAGAGCCAGGGCTTTCTCGGCTGTGGCTCCAATCTGGTGGAACGTATGGGGCCAAAATGGTGTCCGGCACTCTTCTTAGCTGCGTCACTGCTGTCCGTGCCGGTAAAAACCTTTCCAGCCTCTTTGGTCTTCTTAGCAGAGTTTACACAGCGGGGAAAGCTGTTGCTTGTGTGGGTAATAACTCAGACTGCAAAGCAGGCTTTTCTCTTATCTCCAATAGCCTTTAATGAGTAGAATAACAACATAAATCAGCCCGGTGAATTGGCCAGCATCCTCTCCGCTTCTCGGCAAAAGTGAAAGAAAAAAGACACACAGAGAAACACTCCCCTCTGTGAACATAGCCACGCCTCAGAATATGAGATGTCACTCAGAACTGTTTAACCCTGTAAGTTCTTATTCTCCTCACAGAACGCTCTGTCACAAGAGACTAGGGCCCTGCGGGACCTGACATCTTTCCGCAGGGCCTGCAAGACAGAGTTGTTCCACCAGGCCTTTGGTCAGGGCGCAGCCTGACTCCCTCCTCTGGCAACCTGCACAGAATTTTGCTTAACGGTTGCCATTAATTTTGATTTTAATTAATTTTTATAATGAAATGTTTTTAGAATGTTGGATTATTTGATTGTTTGATTATTTGACTGTTGTTAGCCGCCCTGAGCCCGGCTTCGGCTGGGGAGGGCGGGATATAAATAAAATTTATTATTATTATTTATTTGTTCTCAATGTTCCAGAGCTGGATCGGTACATTGCTGATTTCAAGGGAGGAAACTTCCCCCTCTCTATGGTGTCAAACTACAAGAATTGCCCCAAGAAAAGAGGAGAAAGCATCGCTTGGAGAAAAGTGAGCACCAGTCCTCGTAAGAAATCAGGCCACTTGTCAGCCCAGTCCTGGAGTAGAAAGGAGGAGAATGCAGAAGGTAATGGCTAATGGGAATGAAAGGCCCTGTAGGAACTGCAGAGATGGGCCAGGAAATTCTGTTTAATGTGAATGTTCTGTCCTGTAACCGTTCAGTCAAGGGTCTTTCATTTCTGAGTTGTTGTTGTTGTTGTTGTTGTTGTTTACCAACGATATGCATAATCCACTCACCACCGCTGAAGTGCAACTTCTCTTTAACCCTGCTAAAACAGATACAGTGGGCGCTCGGGTTGTGAATGTGGATCCGTGCGGGGTGCACGTTCGCAACCCGCAGCGTTCGTAACCTGTAGCAGCGCGTCTGCACACACACACAAGTTGCGATTCGGCACATCTGCACATGCACAAAGCGCAATTTAGCGCTTCTGTGCATGCTTGACCTCCAAAACCAGAAGTAACCCATTCTGGAACTTCTGGGTTTTGGCGGGTGCATAACCCAAAAAAACGCAACCTGAAGCGCCTGTAACCCGAGGTATGACTGTACAGTGGTACCTTGGGTTACAGGCGCTTCAGGTTAAAGACGCTTCAGGTTACAGACTCCAATAACCCAGAAATATTACCTCAGGTTAAGAAATTTGCTTCAGGATGAGAACAGAAATCACGCGGCGGTGGCGCGGCAGCAGCGGGAGGCCCCATTAGCTAAAGTTGTACCTCGGGTTAAGAACAGTTTCAGGTTAAGAACGGACCTCCAGAACGAATTAAGTTCTTAACCCAAGGTACCACTGTACAGGATTGGCACCATTGGTGCTTCATGGATTACTCCCACTGACTGTATGTGTGTGTCAATACTTCTCATCCTTCGTCTTGTGTAGGTGTCAAGTCAAAGAACATATTGCAGGAAAATGGGAACAAAATGGCTTCTCTAACAAAAAAGTAAGTTGCTTTCGGAGGGGGACTGGAAAATTATTAGGCAATGATAAAATTAAATAACTTAATTCTGTAATAACCCAGTACTGTACATTTTTATGTGGCTTTGTCCCGGTCCGTTTTCTAGGAAATTTAGATAATTGTTTGCCCTGGGGTCAGTAAGCCTGTCGTGTGAGATGAGGTGGGCATCATTGCCCTTCCCTCCCCCAACTACATAGGAAATGGGAGAATATGTAGACAATAATATTCACCTTAAATTACTGTGGCTGGATGCCATAGACAAAATATCAAACCACGTGCAGATGGCAAACACAAAGCTGCCAAGTCACAACCTGCCAAAATGCCACAAAGGTTGGAAATCACAAGTGCCGAAGAACTGCAGGTTCTTTGCTACCGGTTGTCACAGCCTCAACATGTTTTGTTAAAAAGATAAAAGTGGTTGAGAGCAATGTTCAGGGTTGGTGCACCCATGAGGCAAGGTGAGGCAACCACTTCAGGTCACAAGGGTCCACCAGGGCAGCAGATCCCAATGTTGATCTTTCTCCCCCCTGCCCCTCATTCCTGGTGTTCCTGATCATCCATCACCCTATTTTTCCTGAATGGGAGGGAGGTGCCTCAGGTGTCAAAATGTCTTGAGCTGGTCCTTTCAATGTGCATGTGAGTGCTATTGGACACATGCCTGGTCTTCAGGAACATTCTATAACGTTCCTGGCTTATACGAAACAGAACAGCCTACACACTTGCTCTTGAATAGTTCACAGGAATGAATTCCCATCTGTTTTAGTTTGCAGAATGGCAGTCCTTAAGCCAGTGTGATACTTTCTAAAAATTCTGATGTCCATTCTATATACTGTTGAGCCAAAGGCACAGATTAACTGAACGAGACTCAAATCAAGTTTAGTTTTACTTCTCCAGAGGATTTGCAGCTTTGGGAGAACACTTTACATGTATAAATTATCTGTTGTTGCAACAGATTGTGACTCAATCCTATGTAAATGTTTGAAATGCCTCTGTTAAAAAAATATTGTGCTTGCATTTATGTTTGATGATACGAAAGGTCTGTCTGCAGTGTTTAATGGTTGCCATCGTTTAATGTTGCATGTGTGAACTTGCTCGCACATTATACTTGAAAAGGCCATTTCTCCCTTGTAGATTAGTAAGGAAATGCCCGTGTAGCAGGGAAGGTTAATTAAACCACTCATAGAATTAATATTCAGCCCAGATATATTTTGAGTAGACCCTAAACTCTCAATTTTAAAATCTCACCTTTCCTAGGCAACAGTGTCAAGAATGATTTTTTAAAATGTAGAATAAATTAAATTGGCTTTTGTTTTGTTTTCCTAGACGTCTAGAAGATGACCCACTAAGTGTGTTAAACCTGGAGCAGAGGCTATCAGTTGGTTCTGATGATGAAGTAGACCTTGTGCAGGAGCTTCAGAGCATATGTTTAAGCAAATCGGAATCTGACATAAGCAAGGTAACTGCAGTCTACATCTCTTCATGTAATCGGCCTGTCCGTTTCCTCTGGTTCCATCCATGCTTCATTCCAACACGTCACAATTTTCTCCCGTTCTCAGGAAAACATTCATAGACTCATCCATCTTTCTAAGTGCCTTCCTTTTCTGTTTCTACCCGGTGTTGTCTCCAAATTCCTTCAGTCGACTGCTTACTCCTACTTTTCATTTATTTATTCCATTTCAAAATTTTAAAATGCTTATAATTACATAAATAAAAAATAAGTCTGGATTTAAATAGAGCACTTGCAGAATTACAGTTTCAAAATGTCTGCAACATGGCTTATTCTCACTTCTTTCTCCTCCAACTCCTCTCCTGCTGTCTATTTAAAGTGCCCTCAGCAGATGATTTCCTCACAGCCAAATTCAAAGGTCTTTGTCCTCATATCTTCTTGCCCTAGTTTCTGTCCTCAACTGGGTCTCTTCCTGCCTGACCAGTCTCTCATTTCTCTTTTCCCTGTTTCCATTAGAATCTGTCTCCGTGATATATTGTTGTTCCCAATCCTAAGTTATTTCATAAGATCCCATGGTTTTCATATTGCCTATATGCTGGTACCCAATTTTGTCTCCCTATCAAGATTCCCCTCCATTCATTCCTCAGTTCTTAAGTACTTCTCTGACATTGCTGCTTATATGTTCCATCGCCTTCTCAAACTCATTCCTATGTTTCCTTTCCTCATATACTCTGTATTAGAGGTTTGCATCTCTGTGTCCATTGAGAATATCACCACCTACCTCACTGGATAGACACATCTCTTCCACACTGCCACCAAGTCACTTCATTTTCACCTGTTTTAACATTGTAAAAATGCAGCCATTGTTTTCTGCTTTGTCAGCAAATATTCTGATTTGTGGTCTTGTCATCTCCCATTCTGAAAGCTGCAACCTTCTCTCCCCTCTTCCTACACCCACCATATACCAATGCTCTACCACCAAACAAGTCATCTCTTTTATTGCTCAGACCACCTGACAGCTGTCCTTAATTCCTACACCGTCTTTCAGCCTGGGATCCATCACAAAATCCTCATCTGTACTTTCAAAGTTCCCTGTGGCTTTGCATCCTCTTATCCTGGCCACCTTTGCATCCCAATACTCCTGCTGGTGTTCAGGTCCATCATCTGTCTGAACATCTCCTTCCCTTTCCCTTTATCACCCTGCCCCTTATGCCTGAAACTTGTTTTCAAAAATGGCTGCAAGTTGTTGCCTCTCTCTTCCATTAACTCTCTCCTTGAAACTCACATTTTCCATGAAGTTTTTGGTGCATGCCCTTATTTATTTGTACAAATATTTATAGACCACTATTTCATAGTGGAGTAACTCATTATGTAGAAGTTCCATCATCATATGGAAAGTTCCCTTGCCGGCTCCAATAAAGTCCAGTTGGTGTCCTGTAGACATTATTGGATGTACCATGGTGCTGCATAAGTTGTATCTAATCACAGAAGACATAGTGTATAGACTGCAGCTTGGCAACACTCTTTTCAACTCTGAAAACCTTTATAATATGTTTACAGAGTGTATTACCAAGCTTTAAGAGGTTTACCAAAGCAGATTAACAATGATACACAGAGCATTGCTTAAAAACATATATCAGTTTTTGTATATGCGAGTGAGATTTCCCTCTGACTTCATAATCTTATCTCTGTTGTCGCTATCAGTCTATTGATCATGGGAAGCTAGTGTAGACTTAACGAGGGGTATAGGCATATCCCTGTTTTGACTTCTAACACTTGACTTTTTCCATCCCTCCTTCCTCACCAAACCTTATACAGATAGTAGATTCAAAGGATGAGCTGGTGATGATGATTAATGCTTCTCAGAAGGATCCTGTATTTTCAGCAAACGTCATAAAGGCCAAAACTTCAGCATCACAGCAGGTTTGTGACGAGTTGTGATAATGTGGCATAAGGATGTCTTTGTATGTCCGTAACCTAAGCCTAGAGTTGTTTGTTAGATTCAGGGCATACTGAGCACAATCACTGCATGGTTGCCAAGGCTCTTTATATTGTGTTGTCCTTGTGGAAGTGAAGTTTCACCATGAGAGAAGGCAGAGAACGACAGAGACAGGCACAAGATGGGCAAGAGAGACTGATGCTCATGAAATATGAGCACAAAGGTGGGGGGGAGAGAGAATGAAGCAGATATGCAGGCTAGACATCATCCTATGGACCACTGGTTGCCATGGGAAGATGTTAAAATATTTTAGATTTTTGAAAACAAAAATCAGAAGAGGTGTTGTGTTTGACAACTCCATTGTCCAGAAATTCTATTTTGCTTTTGTATTTGCGTTAGAGTTTTATTTTTGTTGAGTCATTTGCATTTATTTTGTTGGTCATTTACAGAAATAGTGAATACATACTTATGCATTTATTTAAAGTGTTTTTACCCTGCTCTGTAGCCAAAAAGGCTCCCAGAGCATCTTACAAGATCAGAGAGAAGATAGCTCTTGCCTTCAGGATGATAATCTAAAAACACCACACACTTGGAAAAGGGGATGGCGAGGGAGGAGGAGGAGAATGGCAAGCTCAGACAGTTATTACAATGACTATGTAGGAGGAGAATAGTTTCAGAAGCCTAATGAAATGGCTGCTGCTAGGGAGAACCAAAGGCAGCTGGCATCTCAACGGAGGCAACAGCCTTGCTTCACCTCTCTCTCTGCTGTGCAGCATGATAGAATTATACAACTTTTTACTGCGGCTATTTATCATTTATGAAGAAGTTCCAGTGTGCACAGGATTTCAAAGTCTCTTGCTTTATTCATATAAACATCCTCTGAAGTAAGGAGAAAAATTAAAAATTGAGCCCTGCAAATGGGATGGGTCGCCCAAAGGACCCAGCGAGAATAGATCCTTGCCCCAGTCGGACGTGGTGTCTCCAGTTAAGCATTTTAGTTGCAATCCCATATTTACTTATTTAGAAGTAAGAACTGTGGAAGCCAGTTGGGCTTTCTTCTGTGTACAGGTTCATACTGTTGTTCTCCTACAGTGCACAAGCAGAAGTGGTAAGCTATCAACGATACACCATGGAAGACCCCAAAAGATTGTTGCTTACACCCCTGCTGCACAATTTGAAAATCTTTGTGGTTTCCCAGCCTATTGATGCTCGGTGGCACTGTGGGTTAAACCACAGAGCCTAGGGCTTGCCGATCAGAAGGTCGGCGGTTTGAATCCCCGCGACGGGGTGAGCTCCTGTTGCTCGGTTCCAGCTCCTGCCCACCTAGCAGTTCGAAAGCACGTCAAAGTGCAAGTAGATAAATAGGTACCACTCCGGCGGGAAGGTAAACGGCATTTCCGTGTGCTGCTCTGGTTCGCCAGAAGCAGCTTAGTCATGCTGGCCACATGACCCGGAAGCTGTATGCTGGCTCCCTCGGCCAATAAAGCGAGATGAGCGCCGCAACCCCAGAGTCGTCCGCAACTGGACCTAACGGTCTTTCCCTTTACCATGGATGAGGGGCAAAGTTTCTTAAACATCTGGCAACCAGGTTGTGGGCATTGAAAGAGCATATTTAGTTGTTTTATTTTCCTAATTTATGAATATTATTTCACACGAGTCTCAAGGCGATTTGCAAACATGCCGTAACACAGCTTGCTGTACGGAAACCCGACAAAAGATAGGTTTATACAACCTTTTCCTTCAGCTGGAAAAGCGTGTTTAAACAAAAATGTCTTCCGTCCCTTCCTGAACATACAGACAGTGTGTGCCTGTTTTATCTGAACAGGAATTCTTAAGGGGGAAATTGCTCAGTCAGTCTAATGGAAGATTTCCCCACAGTAAAGTACAAAGGGCTACCATTTAGTGGCAGAATAAAAAAGAAGTACCCAGCCAGGTGGGCAGAGTATAAATAATAAAATTATTATTATTACTTATAGCAAAAGGGGAGTGCCATAAGAGATACTTGGTGGCCATCTGGAGGCCTGGTTCACGCTGAGGGGGCCAGGCGGGAAATTGTGTCTGGACTATACCATATCAGATTACAGCGGAAGTGGTCATATGACTGATGTTTTTAAATCTATTCTTGTACAGCTGTACCTTGGAAGTCGAACGGAATCCGTTCCAGAAATCCGTTCAACTTCCAAAACGTTCAGAAACCACAGGGCGGCTTCTGATTGGCTGCAGAAAGCTCCTGCAGCCAATCAGAAGCCGCAGAAGCCCCGCCGGATGTTTGGCTTCCAAAAAAAATTCACAAACCGGAACAGTCACTTCTGGGTTTGTGGCGTTCGGGAACCAAAACATTCGGGAATTAAGCTGTCCCAAAATGAAGATACGACTGTACTTGCATGTTATTGGGGGTTGGGATTTACATCATCAGGGGAAGCCCCTTGCAAGGACTTCCATTTGCACCATGGTGCTTAAATCCATCTCTACACTGCCCCATGCACTACCCAATTGGCTTGGGGTAAGTGGTCATAAAACCCCCAGAACAGCACACAGGGCAGGGAGAGCGGGAATCAACCTCTCCGTCAACCTGGAATGCTCATGCAGAGAGAAAAATTGGAAGAGCACAACACAGCACTGTATAAATCTTTTTGACTTCTCCCGCATTGCCACATTTTCAGAAGGATATGAACAGAGGCCTAGGGAGCAGGCGGGCTGTGTTGAATTGGTGGGTGGGCTGAGTGAATTGCTGAGCTATTAACACGAGTGAAACCTCCCTCGACCCATATTGCTATGTGCCTTTAGCACTGGGGATTGTGTGTACTTGTTTGTGTGTTGCTATCCCATACCGATTCGTGACTTGCCTTTCAGTGGTATAATAATCAAAATGAAGTACTTTCTCTGGCATTTTAAATGAGCCCCATGCCCTAGAAGATTTTTTTTCTTAAAAAAAAACGTTTTGTGACACCTACACAAAACACAGCCCACTCTGAGGAAAAATAATTGAGAAACTCAGACTAGCCAGCACTAGGATAAGAGAGCATTTGGCTTCAGCCATTCATGACCAGGCCCAGAGACCATGAACCCTCCAGATGGTTTGCCGTTACCATGGAAACTCAAAAACACAGAGGTAGTGGCTGACTAAAATGGTACCCAGGGGGGAGGGTTGCTGGGAAGTGACAATTAGAAATGTTCAGCTGCTTAAAATGATTTTTTCCCCTTCCTCTGAGTTGTAAGAGGCTGTTGCCTTCTTATCATGTGAAATAGGAAAGAGGGAAGAAGGTCTGCAAAGCATCTCAGAATGTAGGCCTGTCTGGGAGCATCACTTGTGATGAGTTTGTACATCAGCCCGTATGCTTTCTCTCAGTAGGAAAGTGGCAGCTACCTGGAGAGGGGGGGTTTAGATATTTAAGCAGACCAAATGACAGTAGAGCATGAGACTCTTCACCTCAGGGTCGTGGCTTCAGGCCCCACATTGGGCGAAAGGTTCCTGCATTGGGGGTGGACTAGATGACCCTCGCGATCCCTTCCAACATTATGATCTGTCCACAAAGCTGTAGCTGCATCTGCACTGCAGATCCTGCACTGAGCAAGGGTGTGGGGTGGATGATCTCCAAAGGCCCTTCCAACTAGCTCTATACAGTGGTACCTCGGGTTACATATGCTTCAGGTTACAGACTCCACTAACCCAGAAATAGTACCTCGGGTTAAGAACTTTGCTTCAGGATGAGAACAGAAATTGTGCTCCAGCGGCGCGGTGGCAGCAGGAGGCCCCATTAGCTAAAGTGGTGCTTCAGAACGAATAATGTACTTAACCCGAGGTACCACTGTACGTGTGTTCAAAACAATGTTTGCAATTCAGTTTAAAAATAATCATAATACATATATGCATATATGTGCCTTTAGGTCGGCACATTTAGGTCGGCACAGTTTTATTGGACCCAGCTGATTCAGTCAGTCACTGATGGGGAGTATATATATATATATATATATATATGCAGGTTTTGGTGTCCTCGGGTGTCTTCCCGTGTAAAAGTTGGGGTGTCTAGGCACTTTTACACGGGAAGACACCCGAGGACACCAAAACCTGCATTCCTGTACCCGTGAAAATCTACGAAAGCAAATATATATATATATATATATATATATATATATATACATCTAGGTGTCTCCACAACGCTTGGAAAGTTGAAGCTTGCTATATATATGGCCCCACGCACCTTGATTAAGTCAGAAAAAGACAACATTTCTTATTTCTTCCCTTTGAAACTCAATTTGAGGGAGGGGGCTCATTTCCAGTGGCAAGTATATTTCAATGAATTCATGAGTGAAAAATGGCATCAAATGAGCACCGTGGCTTGATCAGTTCCCTCTTTGTGGTATAGTTGCCAGCAGATGCTGGTTATAAGAAGCAAACGTGTAGCAGGGAACAAACAGGGTCTGTATTATGTACAGATCAGCCTTCCAACTTACATTTGTTAAATCGTCTCATTATAATATGGTTTGTGACAAATATATAACTACTGCAGTAGAGATTTTTACTGATTTAGATAAAAGGTAGTACTGAAGTGAAAAAAGAATAGTTGGTCAGAGCATGGTGCTGATAACGCCAAGGTTGCAGGTTCGATCCCTGTACAGGACAGCTGCATGTTCCGGCCATAGCTGTCAACGTTTCCCATTTTTTAAGGGAAATTCCCTTATTCCAAATAGTATTCCTCGCAAGAAAAGTGGAAAGTTGACAGCTATGGTTCCAGCATTGCAGGGGGTTGGACTAGATGACCCTTAGGGTCCCTTGTATGAAATATGGTGAGATGTGGTTCCCTGCCTTCCCTGTATCCACACCTTGAGCATTGTTTTCCCCCATTTGGGGGGAGGGGAATGGAAGATAGATTTTACTTTGTCCAGAAGTGTGCATAGAAATCTCTACAGCATTTAGATGGTTTCGGTCTCCTCTGCAGAGGTCATGCATTTATCAGCGGGTTTTATGTTATCCCAGATGAGAACCCACCAGGCTTGCAGAAAGCAGGTGGCTTTACCCAGATATGCCTACGGCTCTTTCTTCTTGCTGCTTGGTGTAGCTTCTGGAATCGTAAGATGCGGTGGGGGAAGGGAGGGAAGCATAAAATAGGAGAAGACAAGACATGCATTTAAAAATAGAAACGGATATTGTAGAAATAGAAAAAAAGTCCAGATATGGTGGTGGGCATAGAATCTATTTAGTCTTAAAAGGCATGTAGGCAGCTGCATTCTGTAATCACAGGCTCTCTTCTTTTCATCCAAAAATACACACTGCAAATGCCACCAGCCATACCATTTTGAGGCCCGAGGAAAATAATCTCGTATAAGCCTCTACACAGGAAACTATTTAATATGCAAAACGTTTGCTTTCTCAACAGTTGGACGGTGGAAATTTTCTGGGATGTTTTCATACATAAAGTGATAGGAGCCGGTATATATTTTGAGAAGGGAAAGTGGGGGAACAAAGGAGGTGGGTCGAGTTTTGTGTACATAGTGATTCATCGTGAAGGAGAAATATTTCGCTGTCAATTTTATTTACAAATCGAGCACAATTTCACGCAGTTTTTGACACACTTTTGGCTGTGCAGAATTAACACTAGAGCAAATGATTATGCTGACAAACCATTTAGATCAAGACTAGCACTTCGAATTAAGCCCAGGAACAATTTGGTAACAACGCTATCAGGTATTACACATTCTAAATCAGGGGTCAGCAAACTTTTTCAGCAGGGGGCCGGTCCACTGTCCTTCAGACATTGGGGGGGGGGACTATATTTTGAAAAATAATAATGAACGAATTCCCATGCCCCACAATTAACCCAGAGATGCATTTTAAATAAAAGCACACATTCTACTCATGTAAAGGCATGCTGATTCCCAGAACATCTGTGGGCCGGATTTAGAAGGCGATTGGGCCAGATCCAGCCCCTGGGCCTTAGTTTGCCTACCCATGTTCTAAAACGTTAGCTGCAGCAGTTGATGTTTCCAAACGGTTTCTTATGCCAGGCCCATGTTGAGCATGTCACACTAGCCTCATATGGATGTAACCCGGGCATGTTAAACTGAGGAAAGCCCTCCTTTGATGGCTAGATGAAACCTCTGGTTCAGAGCCAGTATGCCGCTGCTATGGAGCAGCAACAGGAGAGGTTTATGGGAAAACAACATGGTGGACTAAATGGACCAATCAGGAGGGCTCCTCTTAAATTCTGAACATACAGTTGTACCTTGGATCTCGAACGACTTGTGAGTCGAATGTTTTGGGTGGCAAACGCCGCAAACCCGGAAGTGATTGTTCCGGTTTGCGAACGTTCTTTAATCATCATCATTATCATCATTTATTATTTATACCCCGCCCATCTGGCTGAGTTTCCCCAGCCACTCTGGGCGGCTCCCAATCGAGTGTTAAAAACAATACAGCATTAAATATTAAAAACTTCCCTAAACAGGCCTGCCTTCAGGCTGTCTTTTAAAGATAGGTTAGCTGCTTATTTCCTTCACATCTGAAGGGAGGGCGTTCCACAGGGCGGGCGCCACCACCGAGAAGGCCCTCTGCCTGGTTCCCTGTAACCTCGCTTCTCACAATGAGGGAACCGCCAGAAGGCCCTCGGCGCTGGATCTCAGTGTCCGGGCTGAACGATGGGGGTGGAGACGCTCCTTCAGGTTCTTTGGAACCCAAACGTCCGCTGCAGCTCCCGATTGGCTGCAGGAGCTTCCTGCAGCCAATCGGAAGCCGTGCCTTGGTTTCCGAACCATTTTGGAAGTCAAACGGACTTCCAGAACAGATTCCGTTCGACTTCCAAGGTACGACTGTACTTGTTAGGAAGTCAGCCCCATGGAACACACAGGGCCTCACTTCAAAGTAAAAATGCCTAGGGTCGCCCTGCACAATAACAGAGGAAGGCCAGTGCTGGAATCCAAAGACATGGCTTGCATACCACAAAGCAGAGCTGCTGCGATAGTCAGCACAGTGCATTCACCCCCTCAGTGTATCTGTAACTGCTGGCAGCAGAAGCTTGGTGTAAGCTCAGGGTTCTTGATCCCAGACAATTTTTGCCTTTTGTTCTTTATTCTTTTTGCTTCGGTCAGGAGTGAAATCATTGATGATATATAATGCTGTTCTGTCGGCAGGATGGGAATTCTGGGATGTGTCCTCTCAGCAGCGGTCCAACTGTGCAATGCAGCAACACGAAGTCAAAAACTGAATCTTTCAAGAGTGGTGTTTCCAGAGTGAAATCTTTTCTTCCCGTGCCCAGAAATAAAGTCAGCCAGTCTTCTCAGAACACTAAATGAAGCAGCAGCAGCAGCAATACAAGGCAAATAGAGGCAGTCAAAGACTCGAAAGAAGAAATTTGGAACATGCACACAAAAATACAACTTGAGAAATGCGAATAAACCTACCAATCTGCCATTCATTTTCCCCCCCTTCGGCCTTTGCGTAATCTTAGTTACCTTTGGAGAACAAATTTATTTACGAGTGTAAATAATTTTTAAATATGTTTTCTCGGTTGTATCTATGGGACCACAGTTTAATTTCTGTGTAAATAAGCTGTTTATAATGGGGGAAAAAATATTAGATTATATTAAATTGAACTTTAGAAAGTGAGAGAGCTTCACAGATGATTTTCTAATCTGAAAACGTTTTATTGTTTAATTATATTCAGGGGTATCACTACAAAGAGTGTAAATAATACATGCATAGGCACACACACACACACACACACTATATATATATATATATATATATATATATATATATATATATATATATGAATGAGAGACTTCATCCAGAGATATCTGTGTACAAAAGAGCTAGTACCACGTGTGATGTCTTGGTGGAGAGATGTGTTCTCCATTGCATTAAGATGCAGTTAGCAAATTCAGAAGGATTGACTGACTATCTGTACAGCAAAGTCAGTGTGTCATTTGCTGTTTACTCATCACTTGCAATCAGAGACTCTCCTGGAGTTCCACTCTGCTAGTATGCAGTGGGATTCCCATGCAACAGGGTCCTATGTGAAAAACAAAGCAGTGGATCTGCTTTCGTTTCCTGTGTATACCGGGATCCTACAGGGGGTTACCTTAAAATGCTATTCTGTGTGTAATATCCCTAACTGCCTGTAGAACAGGATCATTGGATATGGATGATAACCTTTATATATAGTTATATATACTGAAGTTTCCCTGTGTTCTATTTCATACATTGGGTTGCACAATTCTGTACAGCACTGGCTTAAAGCTAATAATATACATGTGTTTTCAAGGCAAAAAAGAAAAAAAGTTCACTTTCTGAAAAGTGAATGGAATGTGGCAATAATGGGAAGAATTGGGAATACTCCCCAGTTTCTTTCAGTTATAAACTGCATTAAATATTTCAATTGCCCATATTATTGGGTAGTTTGGTTTATTTCTTGTCTCAAACTCCTTTGTCGCTTCTCTTTTGCATTCCAGGTTCCTGTATGACTGATGATTTGTGCAGACTTTGTTTTTTCTGTTCAAAACAAGAACTCCAACGCCATCGTAATAAGCAGTCTGTTGTCATTTGTCTCATGCTGCTTTTTATCACTAAAGAAAGAAAGCATTTAATTACGTAAATTATTATTATATATGCTACGCTATAAAAACTCCTGTCCCTCTACTTTTCTCATTTTTGACACATGCTAGAAATTTAGGGCATTTTACATTCAAAGTTCGTTTTTCTTAAAAGGACAGCACTTGATTAGCACGCAGTGGTCGTCAGGAGAAAAAGCAACAGCAATAAATTGGGCAATGTGACCCATTTGTGTATCCTGTCTAAAATAATGTTTTAACCGCTATTTCTTCCATCCTACATCCTTATCGCTTGCAGAAGACTGTACCCTTTCAGTGTTCACACTGGGCACAGTTCCAAGACCCTGTCTTGAGATGACACTTTCAGTAAATGAATCGGTACAGATTACTTAAGAAAAACAGCCTACATAGCCAGCAGGTGAATTGCTAGGCACTTGCTATGATAGTGCTATGAAGATGTGCAATCCAACATCTCTGCAAGAGAGTTTGTAAAAGTAAAGTCAGCAGTTACGTTAAATGTTCTCCTGGAATTTCATCTGTCATGCCAATAAAACCCTTTTGTACTGCAATTTCTGCAAATATGTTTGTTTCTGTCTTACGTGTGTGTGTGTGTTTGTAGTTTTATGTGTATTATCTGTGTGCATGTGCTGCAAAAACTGGAACCTGGAACTTTGTTTCCTACCTACTACTGCTTCCATGCTTTACATCACATCTTTAAGATAACCAGGACCCGGGTCTTAGCCAACATTCCCAATGGAATTCCCATTCTATTTCCCACAGACTATATATCTATGCTCCCATTGCCTCCCCATAACAAGGCCTCTTATTCTTGGTTTTCCCCACTTCTCACTTGTCTTTTAAATTCTGTTACTGAAATCTTGGCACAAGACAAATACAGTTTTAGAATAGGGAGAAAACGTGTATGATATATTTTTGCAAATATTAGTATTTTGTTCAACTCGACACTGAGTTGAGAATGGGATTCAAAAGTTATTAGCAACTTAACCCAGCGTGATCATTAACTGTGTGAATTTTAAGGAATTATTCGGCCACTAACAGTGCAATGATTTTCTTTCTTTTTTTTGCAAGTCTGCTTCACAAATCTGCAGTGGAACTCACTCTCAAGTTAGTGTGTATGTAGCATTGCAGCCTTGAAGTTCTTAAATGTTTGTTATTGTTTTTTAAATGTTGAGCATTAAATAATCAAAGATTTCCCAGAAAACAGTCATGGAATCCAGCCCTATGATTTTCTTGGTCAGATATCAGTCCCATTGAATTCAATAGGAGTCCACCCTGATTAAGTGCATACAGGGCTATAGCTCATTCTAAGACAATGCTCCATACATCATCCCTAAGATCCACTGTAAATATGCAATCATAACAAATAATTTTGACTGAGCCTAGGGCTTGCCGATCAGAAGGCTGGAGATTCGAATCCCCGCGATGGGGTGAGCTCTCTGCTCCTGCCAACCTAGCAGTTCAAAAGCACATCAAAGTGCAAGTAGATAAATAGGTGGGAAGGTAAACGGCGTTTCCATGTGCTGCTCTGGTTCGCTAGAAGCGTCTTAATCATGCTGGCCACATGACCCGGAAGTTGTACACTGGCTCCCTCGGCCAGTAAAGTGAGATGAGCGCCACAACCCCGGAGTCGTCCGCAACTGGACTTAGAGAGCCAGTGTGGTGTAGTGGTTAAGAGCGGTAGTCTCGTAATCTGGGGAACCAGGTTCGTGTCTCCGCTCCTCCACATGCAGCTGCTGGGTGACCTTGGGCCAGTCACACTTCTTTGAAGTCTCTCAGCCTCACTCACCTCACAGAGTGTTTGTTGTGGGGGAGGAAGGGAAAGGAGAATGTTAGCCGCTTTGAGACTCCTTAAAGGGAGTGAAAGGCGGGATATCAAATCCAAACTCTTCTCTTCTTCTTAATGGTCAGGGGTCTCTTTACCTTTACCTTCCTTCAATGAGGAAAGTAGAAATTTATCTGTGGGTATTTTGAAACACAACTATTTCATCTCTAGATAGAATATTACATTTTGAAAGAAGTCACATTTTCCTTGAGCATATGAATGAACCGATAATGATTGCGGTTTGAGCAGTTCAGTAACAGAGTGGTGCATGATTACAACAGGAAAACAAAGTGTAAAAACAGGGGGGAAGGTGTAATACAGCTAAATTTAATTGATACCTAAATGAAATCTAATGAAATGGCCATGTTTGTCTAAACTCGTTGGTGTTATTCAGCCAAAAGCAAAAGTCTCAACCTGAAGTCCTCATCCCAATAAAAATTCAACATACACAAACTTCAGACTCTGGAGTAAATGAGCTGCTTTTGTGTGTGTGCAAGGATGAATGCTAACCAGCAGTGTTCAAGAGGAGCACGTCAGGGTCCCTTCCAACTCTGCAATTCTATTTGTTTCAGTTATTGGGCAGAATAAAGGCAGCTTTCACATTTTCTTATCTTGTCCTCAGCAGTGCTATTGACAGAAGGGCAAGTGCCCATTAAATTCCTGCCGCTTAGCAGTACTTTCCAGCTAAGAATTGCTCCACAGTACTCTTTTCATAAGCAACTGAACACGACACTGACATGGTCTCCAATCTACAGTGTAGACTGACCCTATGCGCATTGCCAGGTTTTGAATGCACATTTTAATTCCAATAAGCTCTGGCACCCATGTGGTTTGGTTGTGATAGCCAAGGGTTGTTCCAGACAATACATTTAAAGGAACTAACTGAGAGCAGAATCTGTAGATGCTTCAAGTCCTGAAACACACACTTGTAGGGAAACTCCCAAACTTTAGAAATCCAAATATACCTGAAAGCAGCAGAATGTAATTATTAGACACTTATTTTCCCTTCCTGATAGTTCTGTGTCCTTGTTTTCTAAAACTACATTTTTTTGTTTGTTTCAAATATGAGTCACAACAAGGCAAATTTTCACCAAACGCCTTCATGAGGAACTTCATGCTTATTAAGTCAGCTGTGTTATTGATTCCTACCCGTCCCCTTTCAGGTGCAATTTGTCTAATCTTACATTTGATTCATTAAAATGCTCCCTTTAAGTAAGATCCTGACTTTGCTTTGACTCCCCTGCCTTCTCCCGCTTCTAGATTACACAACTTGCTCGGTAGCTAGGGTTGCAATGGAAAATGTTTGGAGTAAAAATCAGTTTCTAGAGGAAACTTTCCCAAGTTTTCATGTGGGATTCATCCAAGCACAGCTGCACATACCCAACCCAGCTGTTGATGATCCAGTGGTTGTATTTATTTATTGAAGCTATTTATTTTATTTATTGAACTATTTATTATTTATTTATTGAAGCTATTAATTGAAATGAGGTTGCTAATTTCCCCCTCCCTTTTGGGAAAAAAAACCTCAGAATTTTGGAGTTACCAAACACCATCAGAATCAATAGCAGCATTTTTTGGTAGCTCCATCACGTCATCAGCCGACTGACCCCGTGAATGTTCTTTTCCCCCCTTTCAAAATGCGCAAAAACAAAAATAAAAATTCCTTCAGGTGTCCTCTTTCCTGTTTTCTATTCTTGGAAACTTTACAAATAGACATATCTCGTTACAATTTATTCCAAGATGTTTAAAGTGACACTATTCATTGCACCAGGTGTTTCAGTGAATGTATGTGAGCAATTTGAGTTGCACAGACTTAATCTGCTTTGTTAAGTGGGAAAGTAGCTTATTTTTAGCGAGGCTACTGAATGAAACTGAATTTTGTGTAGCCTAAAATAACCTGCATCTATATTTGCCTACAAAAAACTGATCCAATAAAAAGGCACTGCGTTTTTGCAGCTGTATAGATTCTGTGTTTCTCCCTCTGGAGGCAACACAGGACAAGAAAAGTGTATCTGTTCTGCAGCGCCATCTAGTGACAAGAAAGCGAAAAAGTTATAAGCAAACACTTTGTGAAGCACATTTCTTCAGCATACACAAGGATTCAGAGTTGTTGATATATTGGATATTTGTGTGCCGAACAGGATCAATTCTGTTTGCTTCGATGGTCCAACAACAGAATATACATTTGGCTTGTTCACCCAAACACCCTTGGATATAATTTGTGTTATCATATGCCAGAGAGACAGTACACAACATGTTTGTTTTATTGACATATTGCACACAATAGCATCATGAAACTTGCTTGCAATTAAATTCACTTTCTATTTATTTTTTCCAGACCTAGCCGCTTAGTACCTTTTTGTATTACCTGATGGCAACCTGAATGGCAGGTGTTGTAGCTTGTAATATACAAAGTGTGGGTTAAGTTTTCTAGCTCTACAAATACATACAATGGCAACAATCCAGCAAATGCTAATCACAGCTATCGACTACTTTGCACAGAGGCCCCTGTGTATATAATGTAACCACACTTGAGTTGGGCAAGTGAGTCACTTGTACCTGTGTCCACACACCCACAAATGCATAGGACACAGAATGTAAAGTGTGATATGAGTCCAATGTCCTGTTACCTTCACTGGGCTTTGTGAAGTCCATAAGCAAGACATAAGCAAGACCCTCTTCCACTATTGATCGTCCACTGGCATTCAATAGCAGACTGGCAATGGACCTAGAGGTTCCATATAGCTATAATGACTAATATAATTCCATAGCCTCCTCTGTGAATTTGTCCCATCCCCTTAGAAAGCCACCTTGCCTTGCTTCAGTGAGTTCCACAGATTAACTGCATTACATAAAGAAGTACAGTGGTACCTCGGGTTACATACGCTTCAGGTTACAGACTCCGCTAACCCAGAAATAGTGCTTCAGGTTAAGAACTTTGCTTCAGGATGAGAACAGAAACTGTGCTCCAGCGGCACAGCAGCAGCAGGAGGCCCCATTAGCTAAAGTGATGC